GCAGAAATAGTTCTCTTTCAGCCAAACCAAGACACCAACCACCACCCACCAATCCGGCGGCATACACTTAACGGCAACTTTCAAGCTCCAAAGTCCTTTGGAAACTAAGAATGTACTTCCCAGACTGATAACAAAGTTATTCATCATCCTCTCTGAAAGGAGAAACCTAGAAAATAGCTTATAAATCACCCAGGAAGTAAAAAAGCTTTGGAATCCATAATCTGGGGACGGGCAAAAGAAAACATCGGCTACCAGCATGCAACCCTCCCCGAAGTGATATGGGACCTTGGAACAAACCTTTGCTTCCTCCTCTTGTTTCCGCAGGTTTGCTATGCTTTGATTCAGCGCAGCTTCGTGTGTTTTCACTGTTTTCAGAGTTTCAAGAAAAACACTCTATAAAAATAAACGGAGGGAGATATCAGGATAGGACCAACATACGTGCATGAGATCAGCAATTTTATGGAAATGGGTTAAGTTAGACCTGCAGAAAGTTTGTTCACTGCATGCTCTCAGGACAAATCAATAAATAAAAGTTTACTGGGAGATTTTATTTCCAAACAAATACCACAATTATAAGCGCGGAAAAGACATTTTGAAACTGAAAGCTGTTCATGTGCAATAGCCACACATAAAGCTACTTTCAGTGCTGACAGCTTCCTTTCTGTTATTCTGTCATTAATTTTCTTAATATAAATGCTGTTGCAGAAGTTTAATCAACCTGACTTTTTAATTCTACTCTGTTGTTTTAAATATATTCTTTTGTCTGAATAACTTCGCTTAGCATTAGTTAACAGGAGAAGGAATTCCAGGTCACATACTGTAAACTCATCCTGGCCTGGTTGCTTGGCCTTGAAGAAGACAAGGAGGAGCCTTGGTCAGCAGAAGCTGCGACCCACCCAGATAAGAACAACAAATGGCCCCTCAAGAGTTTGGAGGCAGAAAACCAAAGAGAAACAACTGAGCCCCTAGACCATGGATTACCATGGACAGGGCATGAAGAGACCGAGCATTGGGCCGACAGGCGCACGAAGAGGGGGTGCAGAGGTTGTGAGGGCTGGAAGACCCAGGCTTGCTTTGTTTCGGGGTCCCTCCCTGGAGGCACCCAGCTCGAGCTGTCGTTCTGCTGTGCCACCCACATAAATGAATTATTTCTCTAAGATCGGATGTCTGAGCCTCTGCTGTGAGAAACCTAGGGCAAAAAGATTTCCCTACCAAATGCAGCTGAGGCTGATCTTCTGGCTTGCCAGTGCGCCGAGGACCAAAAGCACAGCCACAAGCCCTTGGTCCCACCAGTCTGGCTGCTCAGGATGGGAAGAAAGTGTTTATAACATCTTGTTTTATATCCCGAGGGGCAAGCCCAGAGGGAATCTGAGGCAAATCGAGGAATAAAAGCCCAATATCCCAAGATGGAGATTTAGGCCCACCCTGAGTGCGCAGATCTGAAACTTGGGATACGTACTGCGGGCAGCTCTCCGTGCCACAGACCCCCGCGGTTTTCCTGGTGCCCTGGTACCCAGGTCCTGGCCGCCTCTCACCTGTGCTTGGCCAAAAGCCTCCTCCAAAGTGGCGATCTCGTGGTTCTTGTGGGAGCTGGTGACACAGCACAGCACGCAGATGCAGACCGAGTCCGTCTTGCAGTAGCACTCCAGCAGTTTGCCGTGCTGGGGGCATCTCCTCTCAGCCAAAAGCTGAGCATCGCAGGGCTCCATCAGGACGTGGTCTTTCAGGGGGTTCTTGGCGCTGTGCTTGCTCAGGTGGGCTTGGCACAGGGAGGCCTCGCAGCTCAGGCAGGTCTTCACGGCTGGCTGGGGCTCCTGAAGGCAGAAATCGCACAGGATCACCTCGTCCTGCTGGCCCAAACTTTCCCCCTTCTCTTCACATTGCGCTTCACACTCTTCCTCCTCTTGGTGAGTGTGAGCTTCCAAAAACTTCTGCACTATGCTGCGGAGCTTGATGTTGGGCTGCAGCTCCATAGCGAGGTCCGTCTGGGCGCAGCAGAGCGGGCAGCTGAAGTGGCCCTGCAGGGAACGCCGCCGGCTGCGCACCTCCTGGATGCACTCCCTGCAGAAGCTGTGACCACAGCTCAGGGTCACGGGTTTGCTGAATATGCCCAGGCAGACGGGACAGGTCA